TATCTCTAGGCTAGTTATTGAGGTGTCAGTTGGGGAGCACTTTGAGAAAACTGACCATGACTGTGTTAGTTTTAAAATAGTTATGGAAAAGGTTGGACCTGAGCTAAAAGTTAAAGTTCTAAATTGGAGTAAAGCCAATTTTGACAGTATTAGGCAAGAATGTTCAAAAATTGATTGGGAGAGGCAATTCAAGGGTAAAGGAACGGTTATAAAGTGGGAGACTTACAAAAATGTGATAACAAGAGTTCAGAGGCATTACGTTCCTGTTAGAGTGAAGGGTAAGGCTGGTAGGTGTAGGAATGCTGGATAAAGGGAAATTGAGGCTCTGGTCAAGAAAAACAAGGAGGCATATGTCAGGTATAGACAGCTGGGATTGAGCAAATCCCTAGAGGAGTATAAGGGCAGTTTGAAATCAGGAGGGCAGAAAAGGGAACATGAGAGAGCTTTGGCAAATACGATTAAGGACAATCCAAAGAGATTCTACAAATACATTAAGTACAAAAGAGTAACTATGGAGAGAATAGGGCCCCTCAGAGATCAATAAGGCCGTCTATGCGTGGAACCGCAACAGATGAGTGAGATACTAAACAAGTATCACGCGTCAGTATTTACTGTGGAGAAGGATATGAAAGCGAGAGAACTTGGAGAAATAAACAGTAATATCTTGAAAAGTGTCCATATTACAGAAGCTGGGCATCTTAAAATGCATGAAGGTGGACAAATGCCCAGGACTTGGTAAGGTGTATCCCAGAGTTTGTGGAAAGCTAGGGAAATTATTGTTGGGCCCCTTGCTGAGATATTTGTATCATCAATAGACATGGGTGAGGTGCCGGAAGACTGGAGGGTGGCTAATGTGGAGCTGTTATTTAATAAAAGAGGTAGGGAAAAGCCAGGGAACTACAGACTGGTGAACCTGACGTCAGTGCTAAGTAAGTTGGAGGGGATTATGAGGGACAGGATTTACATGTATTTGAAAAGGCAAAGACTGATTAGGGATATTTAATATGGCTTTATGTGTGGGAAATCATGTCCCACTAACTTGACTGAGCTTTTTGAAGAAGCGACAAAGTAGATGGATGAAAGCAGAGCAGTGGACATTGTCTATGTGGACTTCAGCAAGGCGTTCTCAAGGTTCCGCCACGGTAGACTGGTTAGCAAGGTTATATCGAAAGGAGTCCAGGAAGAGCTAGCCATTTGGATACAAGATTGGCTTGTAGGTAGGAAACAAAGGGTGGTGATAGAGGGTTGCTTTTTGAACTGGAGACTGGTGACCAGCGGTGCACCGTAAGCATCGGTGCAGGGTCCACTGCTTTTCGTCATTTATATAAATTATTTGGATGTAAGAAAAGGAGGAATCGTTAGTAAGTTTGCAGATGACACCAAAATTGGTGTTGTAGTGCATAGTGAAGAGTGTTATCTCAGGGTACCATGGGACCTTGATTAGATGGGCAAATGGGGCAAGGAATGACAGATGGAGTTTAAATTAGATAAGTTAGATAAATGTTAGGTGTTGCATTTTAGTAAGACAAATCAGGGCAGGACTGACACACTTAATGGTAGGTGCTGAGGAGTATTGCCAAACAAAGAGACCTTGCAAGTGGAGTTGCAGGTAGACAGGATAGTGAAGAAGGCATCTGTTATGCTTGCCTTTATTGGTCAGTGCATTGACTATTGGAGTTGTGAGGTCATGTTGTGGCTATACAGGTTAGGCCACTTCTGTAATACTGCATTCAATTTTGGTCTCCCTGCTATTGGAAAGATGTTGTGAAACTTGAAAGGGTGCAGAGAAGATTTACAGGGATGTTGCTGGGCTTGAAGGGTTTCAGAGGCTGAACAGGCTGGAACTACTTTCCCTGGAGCATCGGAGGCTGAGTGTTGACCTTAAAGAGGTTTATAAAATCATGAACGGCATGGATAGGATGATTAGACAAGGTCTTTACCCCAGGGTAGGGGAGTCCAAAACTAGAGGTCATAGGTTTAGGGTGAGAGGGAAAAGATTTAAAAGGGACCTAAGGGGCAACGTTTTCATGCAGAGGGCGGTGCATGTATGTAGTGAACTGTGAAGTGGTGGAGGCTGGTACAATTACAACATTTAAAAGGCATCTGGATGGGTACATGAATGGTAAAGATTTAGAGGGATATGGGCCAAATACTGGCAATTGGGACTAGATTAATTTAGGATATCTGAAGGGCATGGGCGAGTTGGACTGAAGGGTCTGTTTCCGTGCTGTAATCTCTATGACTCTTTGATTCTAAGTGGTAGCAGAGATCGTGGATGCATTGATTATAATATTCTAAAATTACCTGGATTCTGGGAATGTTCCGGTGGACTGGAAAAATGCTAATGTAACACCCTGATTCTACAAAGGATCAAAGACGAAGGAAAGAAACTAAAGACCGGTTAGTTTCATGTCTGTCATTGAGAAATTATTAGGGAAGTAGTAACGGGACATTTGAAAATTCAAATGCAATCCATCAGAGTCAGCATGGTTTTATGAGGGTAAATCTTGCTTGAATAGTTTGATCGAGTTTTTCAACGAAGTAATAAAAAAAGTGGATAATGGGGGGATCCTTTAGATGTGGTATATCTGGATTTCCAAAAAGCATTTGATAATGTGCCACAATAAAGGTTAGCACACAAGGTACGATCACGTAGGGTTAGGGATAATACATTAGCTTGAACAGAGGATTAGCTAGCCAACAGAAAGTTGAGATAAATGATTTTTCTGGTTGGCAAGCTGTAACTAGTGGGGTGATGCAGGATTTGGTCCTCAGGCCCCAACTAATTACAATTTGTACTAAATACTTGGATGCAAGGATAGAATGTATGTTAAACAAATTTGCAGATGACACTAAAATAGGTGGGAAAGGAAGTTGCAATGAAGAAATAAGAAATTTATAAATGGATATGGATAGATTAGGTAAATGGAGTAAAATCTAGCAGATGGATGTTAACATGGATAAGTGTGAGGTTATCCATTTTGGTCAGAAGAATAAAAGGCAACTTATTATCTAAATGGAGAGTAACTTCAAAATGCTTCAGCGCCAAGGGATTTTGGTGTCGTTGTGCATGAGTCACAGAAAGCTCACATGCAGTTATAGCAAGTAATAAGGAGGACAAATGGAATTTTGGCATTTATTGCTATAGAGAAAGAGTGCAATATCATGGAAGTGTTGCTCCAGTTTTCCAGGGCATTAGTGAGACTGTATCTGGAGTAGGGCGCACAGTTTTGATGCCCTTGAAATAACTCCACAGAGGCCAGAATCCGATCTTCAAGTCGCCCTTTATTTGCATGTGCATAGTACTTGAACTGGTCTGCTTCCTCAGAGCCAGGTCTCAGACAGAACAGAACCTCTGACACTCTTGTTTATATCTGTCAGCCAGGGTTCCTTGATTGGACCAGAATAACAGCCCCAATCAGGGAACTTATATTCTGTGAAGTCTACTTGGCTGGCCTTGTTACAATCACTACACTCCTTACTTGAGGAAGGATGTAATTGCAATGGAGGCAGTTCAGAGAATGGTCACTAGATTAATTGCAGGGATAAAAGGCTTGTCTTAAGAGAAGAAATTGAGCAGTTTAGACCTATATTGCTGGAGTTTACAAAGATGAGAGGAGTTCTAATTGAGATATATGATACGCTAAATGGAACTGACAAAGCAGACGTATAGCACACTTTTGGGGCAATTTTGGGGCAACCTTGTGGGGCAATTTAGAATGATAGTTTATAGTTTTAGGCTAAAGGGCGACAGACACAAGGAGAAATTACTTCTCTCAAAGTGTCATGAATCAGCAAATTCACTATCCCAGTACAGACACCTGAACACTGAATAAATTTAAGGAGGAGGTAGACAGACTTTTAATTAGTAATGTTTTAAAGGGTTTGGGGAATGGGTAGGAAAGTGAAGGTGAGGCCGAGATCAGCCATGATCATATTAAATGATGATGCAGGTTCAAGGGACTGAATTGCCGACTTCTACTCCTAATTCTTATTTTCTTATATAGAGGAAATGATCTGTCTGAAGTGCCTTTCTCTAATGGAAAAAAACTGCAACAATGATGGTGGCCATGTTTGCTGCAGGTAATCTCTCCACACCATCCCGTCCGAGACAGCTCGCAGAAACAACTGACATATGGTTTTGAAAACCATCTGTAACACATAATGCATTCACATCTGCAGTCCATAGAACATTTCTTCTCATTGATGGCTAATAATAATCCAAAGCACATTAGTCAGTCAGTAACAATTGAATGCCAAAGGAACAGAACTTCACCGAATAATATTTATGAATATTGTGATCTCATTTAAAAACTTTTACAGTTTATACAGTATTAATACATACTTGTGACGAAGAACTTTTTGGTGAAAGTACAGCTGTCAAAGGTGGCAATCTTTTCCTGTAACACAACTACCAAAACCCTGAGAAAGAAAATAAAGAACAATCAGGAAATATTTCATATCCTATCTTCCCACATTGTACCTGCAAGTGAATATTTCAGATGAAACATGGGTAACAGCATCTTCTGTATTCTGATTATATTCACTATAAGATACAATTTTGAAAAATCTTGACCATCACACACAAATCATATCAGCATTTAAAACCAGCAATAAGGTCTCAATGGGTAAGGTTTGAGTTTCTTCTAAGCTGCTATAAACGAATACCTATAAAAAGTGAAGTGAAGTGATTGTCATTGATGGATTGTTACATCATCATAGGTACAATCTTTCAAACAAGATATTACCAAAGACCTGCCTCCCCATTTCGGGAAGTGTGAAAAATTCCATGACAGTATCTGAAGGATGGCAGGGGAGTTTGCCCCAGTGTCCTGGTCAACATTTATCCATCTAACAACAGCAATAAGAACAGATTAATGATAATTACTACATTGCTGTAAGCTTCTGTGCCTTCTGTGTTTCCTACATAACAATAGTCATTGCATTTCAAAAAAACAGTTAACCAGCTGGGAAACACTTTGAGATTGTGAAGGGTATTACAGAATTGCAACACAACCTGTTTTCTCCCCACAATTGACAGGGAAACAAACATGTTGAAGACATGATGGGACAATATTTAAAATAGCTAAATTAAGAAAATGACAACCAGAAAGGGAAACTGGTCTTGCAGGCATATTGGTTAGCATGGGTAAGGTGATGTATTGTCTAGCAGAAGACCAATGGCATAAACGTATTTTCTGCAAACATGAAGGAATGCTAATTAATATTGCAATTCTTCACACAAAGATTTCCCATTCTTAATTGAGCTAGAGATGAGGCACTCTGTCACAAGTAGTGAGGAAGAAAATATATAACAAGAGGATTGGTACTCCAGAATTTGAATTTTGCTGAAAAGACATCACCAAAACCTTTCGTCTCGCATTCAGCAGGACAAGGGAAATGGAATACAGAAGTACAGATACTTTGCTAATTTGCACCGAGTACTGGTGAGTCTACATCATGTTTATTGTGTACAACTTTTGTCTTAAGAAAAGTTGTAAATGTGCCAGAGGTAGTTCACTGAGGATTCATTCAACTGGGAGGGGGGCTTTATCTTATTAGGAAAGTTTGGACAGATTCAACCTGCATTTATTGGAGTTTAGTCGAAACACAATCTTACTGAAACATAAAAGATCTTCATGAGATTTCACAGGGTGGATGGGAAGGAGATGTTCTCCAGAATGAAGGGACACAGTTTAAATAAAAGGCGTTATCCATTTAAGATGAAAAGGGGAAGAAATGGTTTTCTCACAGAGGGTAGAGAATCTTTGGAACTCTCTTCACTATTCAGCAAGGCAGGCAGGGTCATTGAATATCTTAAAACAGAGATAGATTCTTGACTAACAAGGGAGTCAAAGGATATCAGGGCAGTAGAAAAATGGAGTTGAGGTAACAATTAAATCAATCATGGTCTTATTAAATGCTGTAGCAGGACCTAAGAGACCAAATGAACTAATTCTGCTTCTAATTCATAAATGAATATGTTCTAAATTTCAAACAATTTCCACTATAGCAGGAGACTGTGATTAGTTGGCAAGTAAAATCAGAGAAGCAAAGGTAACGAGCATTCCTGTATTTGTCCTCATATGTGCAAGATGAAAAACTACAGCAAAATGGGACAGCAGGAATTACGTATGAAGAGAGATTGGATCAGTTAAGTCTATCTTCATTGGTGTTTAAATAAATGGGTTGGGGGGAGTCTCATAGAAATCCATAAAATTCTAACAGGACTAGACAGAATAAACGCAAGAAGGATGTTTCCAATGATCATGAATTCCAGAACTAGGCGTCATAATTTAAGGATACCGTTATGGACAAGACCAAAACCCCTCAAAATAGATCAAGGAAATAGCCTAGACTTGACTTTTTATTTCATTTAAAGGCAAGTGCAAGGAACTGTGTTCCAAATGTGATTCAAATGGCCCACCACTGGGATTTAAGCAAAACATACTTTATTCTTGCAACACAGTTAAAATACAAAATAAAGAATTGACATAACTTTAACTCTATTGAAATACTTAATAAAACAATACATTATTTAACTACTAATTATCAACTGTTCCAATACAACAATTTCCCATAAAAACACCATTGGCAAAGGCAAATTCAGCAAAATAGATTTTCATCACGTTATCTCCATCCCAGTCCAGGAGGAAAGAATGCCAAAACAAAACTCGTAGCAGACAGAACTCAAGCTTTTCTTCTGTAGCAAAGGGAGTCATTGAGTCATACAGCATGGAAACAGAGCCTTCGGTACAACTAGTCCACGCTGACCACGTTCCCAAACTTAACTAGTCCCATCTACTGCATTTTTCCCATATCCTTCCAAACCCTTCCTATTCAACATGCGTATGTGAACGCCACCACGTGCATGTTGTTCTTTCTCTGTCATTGGGTCATAGAATCACAGAACTGTATAGCATGGAAACTGACCCTTCTGTCCAGCTCCTCCATGGCAACCAGATCTCCGAAACAGATTTAGTGCCACTTGCCAGAATTTGGCCCATTTCCCTCTAAACCCTTCCTATCCATATACCCATCCAGATGCCTTTTAAATGCAGTAATTGTACAGCCTCCACCACTTCCTCTGGCAGCTCATTTCATACTCTTTGCATGAAAAAGTTGCATTTTAGGTCCCTTTTAAATATTTCTCCTCTCAACTTAAACTTATGCCCTTTAGTTTTGGACTACCCCACCCAGCCTTGACTATTCACCCTATCCATGCCCCTCATGATTTTATAAGCCTTTATAAGGTCACCACTCAGCCTCCATTGCTCCAGGGAAAATAGCCCCAGCCTATTCAGCCTCTCCCTATAACTCAATCCTCCAACTCTGGCAACATCCTTGCAAATCTTTTCTGAACCCTTTCAAGTTTCATAACATCCTTCCTATAGCAGGGAGACCAGGAACTTCTTGGAATTACTTTTCTAAAAACACTGTTGATGTGTCACAAGGATTACAATAGCTCAAGGTTCACCACCACCATGGCCACTTGAGAGCAATTAGACATACGTAATAAATGCCAGCCTACCCATACTCAGAGTTTCACACATCTTATGAGCAAATAAAATTTTAAAGCTTGGTACAGCAACAGTACAATATTCGCTGCAGGCCCTTGAAATGTATTCAAGAAACTTTGGCTTGATGAGTGTAGTTACAAAGAGATCTTGATCAATTAGATCAATGGGCTGATAATATGCAGATGGAGTTTAATTTCGATAAACGTGAGGTGTTGCATTTTGGTAAAACAAATAAGGGCAGGACTTTTCCAATTAAAAGTAGGGCCTTGGGTAATGTTGCAGAACAGAGAGACCTAGGGATTCAGGAACATAATTCTTTGAAATTTGCATCACATATAGACGGGGTGGCTAAGAAGGCATTCAGCACGCTTGCCTTCATTGCTCTGACCTTTGAGCACAGGAACTGGGACGGCTTGTTGAGGTTGTACAGCATAATGATGAGGCCTCTTCTGGAATACTGTGTCCAGTTCTGGTCACCCTACTATAGGAAGGATATTATTAAGTTGGAGAGAGTTCATGAAACCGGGTTGCCTGGTATGGAGGGTTTGAATTATAGGGAGAGGCTGGATAAGCTGGGATATTTTTCACTGGCGCATAGGAGGTTGAGAGGTGACCTTACAGACATTTATTAAATCATGAGGGGTATAGATGAGGTGAATGGCAGCTATCTTTTCCCGAGGGTGGGGGATTTCAAGACTGGTGGGCATGTTTTTAAAGTGGGAGGAGAAAGATTTAAAAAAGATATGAGATGCAACTTTTTTGTGGCTCATATGTGGAAGAGGAACTGGTGCATGCAGGTACAGTTTTTAAAAGACATTTGGATAAGTGCATAAATAAGAAATGTTATTGGGCCAAGCACAGGTAGATGGGACTAGTTTAGTTTGGGACTACGGTCAGAATGGACTAGTTGGACCGAAGGGTCTGTTTCTGTACTATATGATACTATTACCCATGACTCTATGAATCTAATGACGTACTTATCCAAATGTCTTTTAAACATTGTAACTGTACCTGCATCTACCACCTCCTCTGGCAGTTCATTCCACACACTAAACGTTCCCTGTGTAAAAGAGCTGCCTCTCACATCCTTTTTAAATTTTTCCCCTCTCACCTTAAAACCTTAAAAATATGCCCCCTAATTTTGAACTTCCCCACCTTAGGGAAAAGACTTTTGCTATTCATCGTATCTATGCCCCTCAAGATTTTATAAACTTCTATGAGATCATCTCTCAACCTCCGACACTCCAGTGAAAAATATCCCAGCCTTTCCAGCCTCTCCTTATAACTCAAACCCTCCACTCCCAACAATATCCTAATAAATCTTTTCTGAAGCCTCTCCAGTTTAATAATATCCTTCCTATAACAGGGCGACCAGAACTGCACACAGTACTCCAGAAGAGGCTTCACCAACGTCCTGTACAACCTCAACATGACATCCCAACTCTTACACTCAACGATCTGAGCAATGAAGGCAAGCATGCTAAACACCTTTTAACCACCCTGTCTACCGGTGTCTATCAGCTTCAACAGTAAACTCCAGACCTCAACTGCAAGCAAAACAAATAACATAGGTTTGTATGAGCATGACTCCACTCATGCTTCTTTTGTCTAACTTTAAAAAACACACAGGGAGCTCAAAGCTGTTTACCCACTGCTTCTGGAGTATACATTCCTGCACCACTGTGGCAACACCTCTCGGCAACAGAAACAGAACAGAACTCTTAAGGGCACAGTACTGTCACAATACAGGGTAGGCAATTTAGAACGGAGATAAGGAGAATATTTTTCATCCAGAGAATGGTAAATCTGTGGAATTGTCTGTCACAGTAAGCAGTGGAGGACAACAGATTGAATGTTTTCAAGAAGGATTTAGATCTAGTTCTTAAAGCAAAGGGATCAAAG